GCCATTAGCCCGGGAGTGTCGATGGCAGAGCCCGATAGGGTCGCCTACCATAGCCGCTATCTCTTCGTAAACCAAATGCGCCACGAACGACACTAAAACGCGTGTTTCCCNACGCTTTAACGCGAGCGAAACATCGTTTAATCATCGATTATCTCGGATTCTCCACTCCCGTGTAAGCGGAATGTATCGTAAAACGAGTAAACAAAAATCCGCAAAATATACAAGCAGCATTATCCGCGAGACGCGCAATCAGGGACAATAGACTACTCGATATTGTAGAGTTTGGTTTCATAAAGTCGCAAATTTACAAGATAATTATTTCTCTTTTACGACTCTTCTCTATTAAACATTCGCGTGTTATTAAACAAAGAGAGACTCGAGTGCGTCTAAAGAATTGAAAACGTTCCGTTTTGATCTCAGATCGTACGAACAAAGTATCAACCAGCTCCAATTATTATGATTCGTAAAATTCGCATTTGTAAAATTTACGAAACGTGTGAAGCGACGAAAACAAAAAAAAAAAAACACGATCGAAAAACTGCAAAACAATTTGTTCGCTCGCCGATTAAATTTTCATCGCGCTTCGTGTTCGAATTTACGTGTATCGCGAGATTTACGAGAGCACACAGATCCCGGTGATCTCCCGATCAACAAGCGTGCGAGTAATAAAAACGATGCGACGCGGCGGTTTCCATCGTTCCCGTAATTCATCGAATCCGGTCAGCGAGCCGGAAATCTGATCGTCCGGAGTATACGTACTCGTGGAAGATGGTTTATCGGGAACGATCGGGACNAGCGAGAGAATCCAGATGGTCGCGATGGGTGCGTACGTGCGGTCCCGCGCGTTGCAGCGTANGCCGCCGAGGAGATAGTCCGGCNGGGTTCTGGTCCGCGAAGCTGCGGTATCCGACGAGGAGGGTGCCCTTGAAGCGGGCGGGGTCGTCACTCGCAGGGCCGCGGGTAAACGACCATCGGAAACCCATGTGTGTTACCAGCCGGGGCCGTACAGCGTAGCTTTTACTTACTCGCACTACTTAAGTTTCTAGGTGTGTATGCGCGCATCTCGCGCTTTGCCGCTCTCTCTTTCTTTCCTCGCTATNCNNTCGTCTCTCTCTTTCGCTCTCGAGAGGCATCACGAGAAAGAGAGAAGGAGAAAACCCACCTTGCCTATCTTACCCACCGGTAGAAGCGCCGGCCGGGGCGACCACTTTTCTCTTGCCTTATGAGTGTTATGAAACGATTCCTGCCTTCTTCCTTCACGCTGCCAATTTATAGGTTTAATTACCACCTCGTAAGCGGGCGCGCGACGCGACACTCGCTCTCACTATCAGAAAAATNTCGAGCGATATCATACGGCGACGTTAAAAGCGATTTAATCTGTCGGACTACTATATTAATCGACGATAAGCGATTTGTTCACTTACGTTGCCGACAAGCGCATGCATTACTGGTATGGAGCGCTATCATGCTCCCCGTTCGATCCTGCCGCCGTGTCCAATCATGTGGNGAGTTCTTTTTACTTATAATATAATATAATCGCGCAGAGAGAAAAAAAATTTTGATATATAAAATTTAGATATTAACATCTCTTAATTATAAGAGGAAAAAATATACTGTATTTTTAGATAACGATTTTTAATTATAATTATAAATCTCGGGCGCAAAGCTTTTCTGTTATTTCTCATTTAATCTAATGGAAAACTCCAAATATTCGAATGTATATCGACCCTTGATAAAAGCGAGCTTGTGAGAGCGAATGGCGAAAAGTGATACAACGGAGAGAAAATAGGTCCGCGCGATGGGTCGTGTTGCACGAGAACAACCTTGAGCATAACTCGATAGGGCCGGACGGACTCCGGTGCTCCTCCGACCGGTAATGAGCCAAATCCATTACAGCAGCCGCGACGCAACGAGCCAGCAACACCGTAAGCCAACCATACCACGCGTCTGACTCTGCCCGCTCTCGGGTCTCCCATCTTTTTCTNCGCTCACCCTTCTATGTAACCGCCAGTTCGCGATCTATACGTGTGCCTATGCCACGCACGTACCGTGTCGTTAACAAGCACCTAACCAATGGCACCGGGTTCGGTACCAATTCCAATTATAGATCGCGAGTACATTCTGTGTAGTTCTAGTAGCGNATAAAGTGAAGAGCGCCCATATCTTCTTCGTCTTTTTCCCCTCTTCCTGTTTCTTTATCCTCGTCATCCCTCGATAACAGTTACAATGCCATATCGGAAGAAATTAAAANTTTAAGGAACAAAATTCGTTGCTGGCGAGTTATTGTCAATATCATTCCCGATACTCGCCACGGTAGTCGCGCAAGATATCTCGCAAGGTACTCGCAAGGTCGTAACATACACGACGGAGACAGCATCTCTGCCGCCGCCGCCACCGCCGCCGCTGCGGTCGAGACGATGGTGGTCGGGTGGCGCCGCGCAATTGTCAATTAACATTTTTACCGCCGCGTAAGAAAACACGAAGCTACATACCCACGTATCCATACCCGGTCCACGTCGACCGAGCTCAACAGGGTTCCGAGGAATCGCGAAAGTGCCCAGTACGCGGAGACATAGAGACGTATTTATAGCATGTACTTAACACATATTTTTTTTCTAATTTTATTCTTCTATAAAGTGGTAGAGATAATATTGCAAATAAAGCGGTTGCAACCAATTTCAATTTTTGGAATATCAGGCGGTTAAACGNTCAGTCATAGTCGCGAATGTCGATTGATATTTCTAAACGAGTTGTCAAATAACCGATTGCCATTTCGCAGAAAGAGAAATAAGATCAATCGTAATAAACACTCACCCTATCTTGGTGATGAGTTTTCCATGTACGTGGAGATACGAAGTGACGAATCGCTTGTTTACCTAAAACAGAAAGAATCAAATGATAAGCAAAATCTTGAATAATATTGTGTGCGTTATTAAATGATATTATTAAATAAAACCATAATATTTTTATATCAACATGTTGACTATTATTAGCCATATGTTTTTGCTGTATATATATTTATAATATATGTCTATACATATAAATAAGAAAACTTATATCATCTACAATTTATATGCATGTGTCGAATTATTATTAGAGAAATTGCAGAGTTACTGAGCACTTTATCGCCTATGCGCAAGTACGAAAGACACATCTTTTTCTCTATTTCTGTATATCTACAGAAGATTTTATGAACATTCTNAGAGAAGACGAGGTACAAAGTTACAACATAAACGAATACCTCAACACTCGTTAATTGCGATAACTCCTCCAAGTCGCTAGTGTGGGACAACCTCGTCTCGTTGGCAGTGGCCGCACTCGTTGTACGCCGCACTCTCCTACCGTCACCCGGATGAATCCACGTTTCTCTTCTTAATCCGCCGCCGATGATGTTCGCGCCTTCTTTCTCTTTCATCCGCGCCCGTTCCTTCGACTCCNTTTCCTCCTTCCGTTTACGTTCGATAGACTCGTACTAAGAATATTGCGTTTACTAAGAGAGCACCTCTACCGTATGTATGCGATGCATTTTAAAACAAACAGTGCATGATATAATTTGGCCTTTACTGTCGGCGTGTGTATATTACATTAGTTTTTTCTTNTGCACGTTTACTTGCCGCTAGTTTTTTTTACAAGTTAGTTTGTATTTTAGATAAAAAGAATAGCGCGACGATTATGCAGAACGACCACACACTCATCTTTATNTAAACTTTGATTCCTCGGTAGAAATTATTTAAATTGAATTGATCAATAAAATATTTAATACAGTAGCTTAAAGTATTGTTAAAAAACATTGTTTTACAAATTCCATTCCTCTCTTTACCAGAGAACTTTAGTATTGCAATACGCACGCCGATGTTAGCGGGACTTCCTGTGTAGACAGCTTGTTGTACAAAGACAATATATTGCGCACACAGTATTTGTATTTCTCATTTGTACAACAAGTTCCCGCATCTACGAGAAGTGCATGCTAACGAAATGTGCAGAGTTATAGCAAAGATAAGAAGTCTAACTTGGATTTACAGCGAAGCATTTCCGGAAACGTCTTTTTGTGAAAAGACGCTTTAAGAATGCCGCAAGCATATTTTAAGTAAACAAAATATGTAAATTTCGCTAAAAGAATGGATACGGGGTGTAGTATTACCCTTTTTTCTATATACATTGATATTTTGTTTTTTTTTTTTTTGTTTTTTTTTTTTAAATTAAAACTAGCATTTGCGTGAGCGATGGAGAAATAGATAGAGTACTTGAATGGCTTAAAGATGTACATGTGTGCGCATGCGCGCAAAAATAATATTCACTACTTCAACTAATAATAAGTAGTCGTGTGCAAAAGGCATTAATTTGCCGTGTTTGCTACGGAGAGTTAAATGAAAGAGAGAACATACAAATGTTCTTTAAGTGCAAAAAAGTGTATCAAAACATCAATATTCTCCAAAAGCACGCAAAATAAAAAAATCTAAAACTGAGCAATAAAATAATAAATAAAAAGCCTTGATCAAATCAAGCCTCAATCAAATCAAATATATGAATGGAAATATCTAAGAGGGTCCACACCAAGTATCAAAATTTACTTACATAATGTAGATACTAGCGGNAAAAGAAAATTCAAATATTATTAACGTTAGTATTAAATACAAACGGTTTAACGGTACATTTTTAAATTAAGTTCTCTTACTTTTTTCCTATTCTCGTCGAAAAGCGCTATCAAACTCTCTCTAGCCGAGTGGAAAGGATTGGACGCCATGAGAGATCGCATATAATAATACACGGCGTCTAATTTCCGTCTCTGCAAAAATGCGAAAAANCTNTCAAGAAATCTATAAAATTTTACATCCGTTGTAATCAATGTAAATTTGTAAATACGTACAGCATAATGCGCCAATAAGGCAAGCTGATTGTACGGTCTACCATTTTTAGGATTAATTTGCTGGGCTTTCAAATACCATCTGCGCAAAAATAAATTTTTATTCAGTTTTTAACTTGAATTATTTAATTGAAATCTGTGAAAGTGTCAATATATAATCAATTAAGAANACTTACTGTCTTGATTTTCCATAATTGCTCGTTTCGTTTGCTTGTTCCTTATATCTTGCCAAGTCTCCCAAGAACAAAAATATCTTCTGCGCGCTAACTAAGGCTAGTCCCANGAGTCCGAGACCTTTGGGTAAACTTGACGACGCGAGAAAAGTGTCCAATTTGAACTCGTACGTAGTCTCAAGAGTAGTCAACAAGCTTTCCAGATACGTAGTGCCCTCATCGATGATATTTAGCATTATCTGCTTGTAATGCTCACGTCCCTCCGAGCTCTCTTTGGGCATAGCTTTTCGCAGCATCTCGATCAAATTGTAAAACAATATCTTCCAAAAATGTTGCTCGACGTTCTCCGCTTGACAGAACTTGATGTCGGTCTCAAGCAAAATTTTTAAACTCTGTTGAAGGAANTGTCGAATGTACGAGACTCGTTCCAAACACGANGTGAAACCACCGGAACTTAATATCCATTGTAGCTCCAAGTCGGCACGTTCTATGTCCAAGAGAAGGCAGTGATTCTTCGCAGAGTGAAAACTGTAGAGATAAAAGAGTTGTGCATATGTAATATATATATAAATACATATTTTATATACAGATCCAAAACTTATATAATGAATATATAGAGTATAATNTGATTAATNAAAGATATTATTGCGTAATTAAAAAAGATGCATACCTGGCTGAATACGGATCGTACCAAGAAGGTCTCATGTTTCCGATCTGATCGTTCATGTATGGTGGTGGCATACCGTCCATTTGTGTGTTTTGGAAATAATGCGATGACGTGATACCTACATTAGATTGAAATACTGGAACGCTCGTAACTTGCATGTCATTGTCCCTTAAAGAGGATAAGTCGATGTTTACTCTTTGCAGTCGAAGTAATCATGAAACTTGAATGAATAGTAAGAAAACTAAGTTGATTATACCTCTGTACAGCTGCTCTACTTCCAGGTGAGGTGATAATAATNGGTTTGTGTGGGTTNTTNGGATCAAACAACGTTCTTTGTTGTTGGTGTCCCGTTCCTTGTGTAGAAGCTGTTGTCGTCTGATTAGGAGACGACTGATTAGTGTCGTTAGGCAAGATTAAAACGCCCGGCTGAGCGTTACCGTATCCAGTTGNAGACGATCGGTGCGTCGCCGAATTCGAATTTGCACTTGAAAGTGGAACAGTATGAGAGGAAACTTTAGGAGTCTGTCTCCCGTCATCGGAATCACACGTTGATATTTTTCTGCCTGTTCTCCAGTCTTCATGTAAATACTTATCAGTTCTGAAATAAGATATATATTCACACAATATAACAAAATATAAAATATTCATATATTGGAAGTTACGCACACAAGACAAAGATTTAAAAAACATTTGTAAAGTACCTGCGTCTGTGAGGATCGTCAAAGCTTCTGTAGTTGCTGCCGTAACTTCTGTCTTTACTCGATTCTCGGCTACGTTGAACAATGCTACGNCTTCTATGATCGTATCGCCTGCTGTTAGTGTTATTATTGTTATTCTTTTGATTGTTATTACAATTGTCGTTCTCTCTATTTTGTTGATTCTTTTGACGTTCACGGCTGTTGCCTCGTCCCTTGTCTCTGCTGCTGCCACTTAAATATTTATTATCTCATTATGTAAAGATTTTATTAACGACTGTAATAGTCTTAAGCCTCTTGCACAATGCGAGGAAATAGTGATAGCGATAAGCAATAGACACAGAATTCCAACTTATCGGAAATTTTATCGCTATTGCTTATTGTTTTCTGATCTGCATTGATACATGTGTATTTTTGTATGTTAGATTCCGCTGTTTCTACCGTTATTTATGAATATAAACTCTTTAAAACTGGTGTTATTTCTACCACTATTCCGTCCATTGTGCAAGGGGCTTTAAAAAAAAAAAAAAATATGTACACAATAAAGTCTATTTACCGATCAGAATCGCGATGTTTGTCACGTTTTTTTTTTTTACGTCGCTTGTGACTTTCGCCCACAGCTTGACTTCGTGGTACGTTTGCGTTCTCACGTATACTTAACACGGACGAACTACGACTCAGATGTTCTTGTTCTAACTTTTCATTAAGTTCTACTTCCTCGCTCCAGTCCTAAGTAAAATTCACTTTATACATCCGTATCACTTGTATATGCAAATTCTTCAAACAGAGTAATTCGTATACTTACAAGTATTTCAGATGTATTAGTATTAGACGATGGGTTAAATGAATCACTTTTCACAGAGCTATGTTTTGTGTTTTGTTGATTGCTCTGCTTATCTGGACTCGAATTATGATCGTACATGTTACATACGGTTCTTTGCCTTGATTAACAATAGTCAAGCGTTATCATATAAAAACATACAACAAAGAAAAAGAAAAAGAAAGAGATATATATTTACGTGTTGTTACTACGACTGTTGATCGGTGATATTGCGCCTCTACGATGATTCTCGGGTGATCTGTGGCCTTTGTTTGAGTTTGATTGTGAAGTTGCGGGCGATGCGGATAACGGCGGTGGCATCATCGTACTATCAGCGCGACTTAAGCTTTCTATGCTGGTGTACATAGTGCTGTTACTACCACGACGATCATAAGATCTGTGACACACAAGAAGTTTGCGATGTTGCAACAAATTTGTTACGCATTACTTTCACACAATAGCTTGGACGAAAAATGTACGTGATATAAAGAAACACAATGTTACCGGTTCATATATTCCTGGCTAGGTGTATGAGATCTAGAACTCGGCGCCGAATACTGTTCAGGAGAAACAGGCCTGAAAACAGCGCTCGCTATATTATCCAATTCTTCTGATCTAAGTCTACCTCTTCCTCTTCCGCTTCTCGTTGGCACAGTGTTTGCCCAAATAGATTGCGGTGGTAACGGACCGGATGGTGGTAAATTTTGCATGGTTTGCGAATGTTGCATTGTCGGTGGGAGATTATAATTAGCCGAACCCTGATGATTCAACATCATATATAAGTTAACATTACATGTGAATACTGTTATAAATTAGTACAAATTTTATAAATTAATGTGCGCAAAATGAACAAAAATAACGTTAAACAGATTTTTACCTGCAATATACCATTGCCACCATTCCAGTTTTCCGTGGAGGTACCCGGATTGTTGCTGGGCACCGTATATCCATTATCCAAGAGATATTTCTTTTGTAATCGTGGTGGCAAAAGTTCTAATTTTATGTTTTTTGACAAAGTATCTTTCCCGCTGCTGCGTCTGCCCGAGGGTGGCTTGCCTTGAAATTTGTCCGAATGTCCGGCAGGTTCCACACTGCGCGTATCTCTCATACGATTAAAATCATTCTGGTTTGTCACAGAGAGAGGTTCCGAGCCCTGTGATAAACACGAAAATATATTTTCTAAATGATATGTAATATACGCAAGAATATATAAAATTTTATAATACCTTATTATTTTGTAATTCGTTTTAATTTTTTTACACAGACCTGTCTGACTTCGCGTAAATTGTCCTTCCGATTCACACTATTTCTCATCGATATCGGCGAATCGGATCGCCAACGTTCCTCGTTCTCAATAGCATTACGATGTCGACGGTTACCCGAATACCGTTTATTGCTGTCATCTCTGCTTCTGCTTTCGTCATTATCTCGTGCACTGTAGACACTCGAGCGATTACTTTTGTGATTGCGGGGAGTATGAGAGTCACGGTCATTGCTATCTTCTCTTTCCCGCTCCCATGTACTACGACTTGGTGATCTGAAAGATTTAATAGCCACTATTACAGTAATGCGCGCGACAAATGTATGATTCTTCATTACAGATTATTACGATACTGCAAATTAGTTTTTATATTTTATGCCAATGAAAATAGAGTAAAAACGATATTTTACCTATTGTTTCCATCCTGCTCAGCCAATGCTTCCTTTACCTTCTTCGGTACATACAGCAGTTGCTCAGGTTTCCTAGTTTTCTTCTTTGAATCATTCCCTCCTGTTCCACCATTATTATTGTAGCCACCACTAGCTGCAGATTCACTATTGTTACTGTTTCTATAGTCAATATGAGTGTTATTCAATTTTTCGGTTACATTGTCGATTTGTGACAAAGGTGGACTGTCCTGTGCTTGATTAGATCTACCAGATTGTGACTGCCTCAAACGATACTGGACGGAGGTTGTTCTTGATTTTTCTTGCGAGCCATTTTCGTTGTCATATTCCTCAGCTGCATTGCCAGATCTGCCCGATTTGCGTAAAGGACCACTTCCTGGTCTATATAAGGCCTGAGATGCTCTGCTTCCTCCGCCTCGTACTCCTCCCATTCTGTCTTTGTCCGAATTAGAACTCATTGGTTCTGTAAATTATTACAATATACATAGACAAAACTTTACACAGAAAAAGTTTCCAAACTTTTTAAATACTTTTCACACAGAATTATAAATATTTTATTCAAATATAATTTTTTAACATTCCAGAATCATTGTGTAAATATATCAATTATATACACAAATTATTGTTAAAGACTTTTACATAAAGACAAAAATTGTATAATAGCAATATTCAAGATTGAGAGAAAACTAAAGATTAGAAAAATACATTATATGTGCATGTGATATGTGTAATAATTTCCTTCTAAATATTTTTGTCTATCTTATTATATAGTGTACTACAAAAGAACTGTAATATTGTAAAGCATTGATCTACATACTTTGTTTAAATTTTCAACTTTGTAATTTAGTTACAGCTGACATATATGTCTATATAAAATGCTTTAATACTTCTATATTTTTTTATTTTTACATTTAAACAATATATTTGCATTTCTGTGTTACACTCTCTATATTTTTTATACTAATTGAATCTTTCACATGATCAAATATCACAATCTCACAAAATATTTTGATATCGCAACTTCTAAATTTTAGTTTTATATCTACTTTGTTTGATACAAAAATATAATTGTAACTACAACACGCAATGTACATGTAACGTGACGTTATATTAACAATATTCTCGTTAAATTTTCAGGAAATTACCCCATGTTATAATACTGTATGCAACATTGTAAAAATTAGAAATGTTGACAGATGAGAGAAGATAACAAAAGCTTCAGCAAACGTAGCTTTGATTTATTACTTGATATTATCCCTCTCAAGATAAATTGCGACAAATTGGACATTTCAACGACAAAATATATCAAACTTCCACGACAGTTCACGAAATCGTTTGTGTTGACATTCTTCATGACGACACTATAAATTTACTAGATCGAACGTTCGCTTTCGCAAGCAAATGCCGTTAAGTTAAAAATAATCATACGTCGAAAGTATCGAATTTCTAACTTCGTTAGAGAGATCCTGTCGTAATCGTCGAATTCAATCGTCGCGTCGCCATAAAATAACGACATATCAGTGGCCGTTGCACTTATAGGTTAGCTTGTTTAAGGAGGTTAACTTGAATATGACGGGGCCGCGAAAACAATCACAAATCACGATTCGCAGTTAAGCGCACGGGAGTATAAACGGCAGCATGACGTTTCGTCACAATCGGAAGATAATAACATTTTCGTCCAAGTACCTTGTGCAAATCCTCCCCACTTTCTGCGTCCTTTGTCGAGGTTCGCCATATTGAAATGCGATCGCATGCAACCGTCTCCGATCGTATCAAGATTTTTTGACACGCACTGACATCCATGAGTAAAAAGACTAAAAGCAGAGAAAAGCCTGAGAACGGCCAGGCCTATAAGAGAATGTGTAATCACTCATCCGCCTCATAAACTAGCGCATGTCCACGGGTGGTGCACATTGGAACTACGCANTCATGTTCACGAGCGACATGTCGGTGCGCTGTGTCCACAGCGTGCGGTTCTAATCTGTGCTATGTGCACGAGTACCAGGTTTGATTTGGTGCGCTTGTGGCTCTTGGACCTATAACGGTTAGTCCATACGCCATTCTAAGACCAATGCACGAGTACCAGAGAGAGCGGCCCATAAACGTAGAATATAGACTGCGCGTTTGGCTGAAAAGATATCTTCAACGTTGAGAGAGACAACATACTTTGAATAGTAACTCTCTCTCTGTCTATCAATGTCTGTGGTAGGATCATCAGAGCCCATGGAGATAAAATGTCTGTTCGTTTTACCTGAACTGGCCGCTCTAGGTCAGAGTTTATCTTCTTTACTCTACGTTGGAAAAAGAAGGATAAACTCTGACCTAGAGCGGCCAGTTCAGGTAAGGAGCCGTCTACAATGGAGAGTTGTAGGCCGTAATAGTAAGAAATTGACCAATCACAGACGAAGTACAGAAGAATAATCGTCTGTGATTGGTCAATATCTTACTATTACGGCCTACAACTCTCCATTGTAGACGGCTCTTAAAACGAACAGACATAAAGGAGGGAGCATTAAGAGATATTATAGGCGCGGGGAGTAAAGCCATGGTGCAGAGGGGGGAGGTTTGACATCTAAACAACATATATGTAATACTCCTATATTCATATATGTAATACTCCTATATGGCTAGTTGAGCAAGTTTTCCATAAGCGGGACTTGTTCCAACACTGGGCTGTGTTCAGTTAAGCAAGATGGAACGAACTAATGCAGGAAATGCAAGAAATACAGGAATTGGAACTAATGAAACTAATGAAAGAAGTGAAAATAGTGAAAAAAAAGAAGGTTGGCTCCCCTGATCTGTTGCGGAACATGTGTAGTGGCAAAATTGGAACCGAAACAATTCTTTAAGTTTCCATTCTGAAAAAAGTGAAAAAGGAAACGAGAGAAGGCGGCGCATACGGATTATAATTAAAAAAAAAAAAAAATTGGAATTTATAGAATCAAACAAGGAAGCGCTAATTGTGACAGAAGATGATGCGGTCTACAAAGTAACTTGTGAACTGGCTCTGCATATTCTTTTTTTCTTCTTTTAAAATCGAGTTCTTTTTTCGCATCAGTGTTTTCTGCTGTTCAATTACTTGCAAAACAATTAGCATGGGAAATAATGACCATCGTATAGTTAGTTACCATCGTTAGACCGCACCATCTTCTGTCACAATTAACGCTT